AAAAAAAAAAAAAAAAAAAAAAGGTTTACAAATACTGTAAATTGATTTCAGAATATTTTAATGATCTTTCAGTGGACAGATGGCTTAGGTTAAAGCCATTAACCAGAGAAAAAAGATGATAGACTGCACTTCATCAAAATTTAAAATTTCTCATCAAAAGACATAGCTAAGAAAATACAAAGCACGCCAAGTATGGGGAAAATTCCAATACAGGAGAATCCACCACTTACAACTTGAATTAGGATTCATAACATTTAGGTGATAATATCTTTATAATGGCTTTGGTTAGAAGATACTGGACACTTACAGTTCTGTATTGTATTAAAGTTATTCATAACTTCCACAATTTCCTGTATGATGTCTTTACTTGTTACTTCAATTCCATTTATTTAGGTAACTCTGCTCAGGACCACCTATTTTATACATGTTTTGGTTCTTTACAGCCTGTCCACATATGAAATCTTACAGCTCTCAGAATCACTGGTGACCACTTTTTTTACGGTACCCTTTTTCCCTAGGATGTTAACAGATGCCCCACATGCAGAGGATCTTATGGCAAGTTTATTCCAATACTTCAAAGCACATAAAGTAGAGATTTCATATGCAATAAAAAAGACATTTCCTTTCCTTGAGGGTCTCCGTGACCGTGAACTTATCACCAACAAAATGTATAAAGTAAGTGAAATTTGTTTTGTCACAAATTGATAAACAAGTTCCAAATTGTCATGATTTTTTTATATAGTAGACCCAAAATTCTAGGTACAACTAGCTGATAGATGAGTTTCCTATTCTGTACTTCTCTGGTATTTCTGTAAATGCTCCTGCAAGGTGGAGAGGGAGCAGGGAAGCAGAGATACCCTGGGTTAATGGGAGGAATGCTGTCTCACTGTCCTCTGGGATCAGGGTAAATGGCACTGGAGACAACCAGATCAGACATGCATGTCCTCTGTAGACATGCAATATCTTGCACATTTTATACATGGTAATTCACGCAATTCATATAATGCAACATAAACTAAATATTAAACAATTTTAATGGATTGATGAATAATATCATTGAGCTTATTTACTGAAATAGCAATTCACAAAACATTTTATTTCACGTAATAGCAAGTTTTAAAACCTAGATTAGAGACTATTAAGCCCACAGGGAATTAGCATCCTGTTCAAAAAAATTTGAGATTAGCTACCTACCATGCTGTCAGTAACAGGTTTTGGTTTTCTTGTACTTTTATTTTTCATTGCACTTCTAGACTTCTGATTGGAATTTGGATAAATTTTACCAATAGGTCCTACTGGAGATTCCCAGTTGTGAATCTTTCTCATGGTCAAGTTCACAGGAAGGGAGAATGATCATCTAATTTCTTTTAGCCCCCCTCAGGCCCAGTCAGCATTGCCTGTTAAGGCTCTTTCCAAAGCACCTTGACTTTAGGCTACAAACCAATTAACTTTGAGCTCCTTTTATCCTTTAAAATTACTCCTTATATGTAATGTAAATCATGAGATCAGACTCATCAGTGTTTTTGTTTTTGTTTTTTCCTCTTTCCTTTTTGGTGCTGAGAATTGAACCTAAGGCCTTCATACTACACTGTTGCCTCAGCCCCATGTATTTTTGTTTGTTTGTTTATTTATTTATTTATTTATTTATTTTTATTTTTAGTCAATCTTGCTAAGTCACTAAATTGCCCAGGTTGGGCTTAAACTCACAACCCCCCCCTCAATCCCCCAAGGTGATAGGATTACAGGCATGCACCACCATGCCCAACTTCACACGTGGGTATTTTTAAGGAAGAAAGATTTACTCATTTAGCTTAGTAGATATACAAACGCTGAAGCTGTACACAAGACAGCTATATAAGGAAATCAAAGCGTGTTAACTATAAAATTACTTTCTAGGGCTCTTCTATAACGTGGAAGTCTGTATTTAAACTTTCTCCTTTCTATATATTTTAAAGGCTTATCAGGACTCTTGTCGAGAATCCCTGGTCCCTGTACATAGAGTGATGTACAGTGTTCTCAATGACCTGGAGAAGATATTTGACATGGCAGTTCTGGAAGCATTATTCAGTGAGGTCAACAGGGAGGTATACCCTGCTTTAATGAACATTTACAAAGACTTCCAAAATGGTAATTAAGTTTACTACCAACTTTTGTGGTCCATTGTCAATTTTTTAAAAACAAGCATACATTGAGTTTCTACCACATGTCACACACTTCGCTGGTAGTAGGGATTATCATGGGTTAATGCAACAAACTTGTCATGAGAGAGAGATCTCAGGACAGCTAAGGGCTAAGGTAAGTGCCACCCAGAGCTGCTAACTATATACAGGATAACCAGAGCCACTTTGGCCCCAGCTTTAATTAGAAGAGCCTAGGACAGAAACACAGAGCCCCAGCTCTCTGAGTTCACTACTACTGTCCCCAGCGACAGCTTAGCTGAGAGTGTAATATCCACTGTGGATTAGCACCACACACCCATGGAAGTCAAGATCTCTTCCAAAAGCTCCCACATCCTAGCTTTAAGAGACCATGTTATAAGATTCACCATTTGAATGAGGACCACAGAGGGCATCTGGAGTTCGTATGGAGTCCTTCTCAGTCACTTGTCGTGGATCATTTTTAAATCTAAGCCCCGAGAAAAGTCCACCTTTATTAAGTTACCAAATTAATGTTTCAGAAAATTAACCCTGGGTCAAATATTCCTTTAAAGAAAAAGTGATTTTTTGAAACTTTCCATCCATGAAGAATGAGACAAACATTGATCACATTTATTGCTATGCAATAAAAAGCATGCCCTCCAATTTTTTTGTAGATTACTTGTCTAGAAACTTTTTATTCCGACAGTTTGGTCTCAGATAAGTTTTCCGAGTACGAGATAGAGATAACACAAGAAAAAGGGGCACATGTCCTGGGGAAGGACAGGAACATAGGTATGAAAGGATGTCTTTGAAGTGCCCACAAATTTGATTTATCTGAATTTGAAAGTGAGAAGTAGAAACTGACTCACTGACATAAGTGGGAAGAAGATTTTGAAGCATCTGCCATTTAAAGCTAAGAATTTACAGTTTGTTTACTAGGCAACAAATACTACAGGTTTACAAGGGAGGAACAAATTTCAAGGCAAGTATCTAGGGCTTGGCCACTGGTGTGAAATAGTAACCTGATCCAAGGAAGAATATTTTTGTAGCAAGTCATTCAAGTCAGAGGAAGAAGAAAAGAAATCAAATACTTGAGCACCAATTGTGAGTCAATATTCTATTTGTTACCAGGATGCCCCAGACTGAATATATGAAGGAAATGGCGTTATCTTTACTGCCTACTACCCATGACTTCTGATGTTCTCCAGGGACTGTGAGATGCCCCTGTCCCAAGCCCAATGTCCACATCTCACTCCTGTGCTTCGGACACCTTGAGTGTCTCCTCTCTGTGGAGGAAACATTAAAGGCTCCCTGTGGGGATCAGCTCCTCTCTCTCCCAGGGATGATCATGAACTTATAAGGACACACTGAGCACTGAGGGACTGGAGAGCTGGGAATTCCTAAGTGTAGAGTTTTGAAATGTTGTCCCTAGACCATGCTAGAGATCTCTAATTGCCTTCTTCTCCATCCATGTCTTCAGTGATCCATGACAAATTGTGTTTCCAAGAAAGTGATGAAGAGAGAGAGGAGAGGCCCGACACCCAACTAAGGCTTGAAGAAGGTAATTATAACTAAGCAAAAATCATATTCTTACCTGCACAGTAGAAAAGGAGATCGAGGCATCCGCTAATGGGCACTGTGAACTAGGAGAGAAATGTAGGAGGACCATGGAAAAAGCAGGAAAAGAGTTTGTATATAAGCCTTGTGTTAATTAGCTTTCCATCACTGTGACAAAGTACCTGAGAGAAATCAGGTAAAAGGTGGAAATGTTTACTTTGGCTTATGGTTTTGGAAGTTTCAGTCCATGGTTGCTTGGCCCGATGTTTGGGGTCTGTGGAGAGCCCAAACATCATGGTGAGAAGCAGACAGTGGAGTGAAACTGCTCACCTCATGGTAGCTAGGAAGCAGAGAAGGGGCCATTGTCCCAATATCCCCTCTAAGGGCATGTACCCCGTGCCCCAACTTCATTCCAGTAGGCCCCGCCACTTAAAGGATTCACCAGATTCCAATAGCACTATTGGCTAGGGACCAAGCCTGTGGCTCATGATCCTTTGAGGGACGTTTTAGATTCAAACCATAACAAGCCTCTAAGTAGATGTGGGATCATGACAGAGTAGCCACAGCAAGGGACAGTAGGGCCAGTACCTAAGATGAAGGAAACAGAGCCCAGTGTGTCAGTAATCAGACTTAAAAGGACAGACTATTCAGATATAATTGTGATTTACAAAAAGATATCAGTAGGAGATCAATACAAAGCTGTGAAGACATAAGAACTACAAGGGCCATGGCCAACATTAAAGAGAAGGCCCTTAGTGAAAGAACTTCTTTCTTACTGATACCTTCACATTCACTGCACTTCTGACATAAAATGTGAGTGGGGGCTCTCTCCTACGCCTGCCAAGGTTCTGCAGGTGCGAACACCGTGTTCTATAGTTCACTTCTCTCCAGGCATTTACCAGCCAGAATTAGCACAGCCCACATGTTAAGGGCTCAGTCCCCCAAGACATCCCCCACTTCGGACTGCAGTTACAAGCTCCAGGTTGTAACCAGGAGCAGTCAGTGTAGCTTGCCTACAGTCCCCTCTACAGGAGGCAGAAGGAGGAGGATTGCTTGAGCCCAGGAGTTCAGAGCCAACCCAGAAATACAGAGAGACCCTACCTCTACAACAAACTAAGTTCCTGGTTGTGATCTGTCCTTCTGACCGACTGGCTGTAAGTTCCCACAACCCTCTTCTTGAGTTGGATAATCTGCTACTAGAGCTCACTCAACTCAGGGAAACACTTATTACAAAGCACACAATTCATTATAAAGGTTAGAACACAAGAACAGCCAGATAAGAGATGTATAGGAGAAAATGGGGATGGATATAGAATTATCATGCGCTTTCTGGGCATTCCACCCTCTCAGCATGTCCGCAGGTTTGCCAGCCCAATAGCTCTCTCAGTCATTTGAGACTTAAAAAAAATATAGAAGCTCCTATCCATGGACCTGATTGAGTAAATCATTGAACATTGGTGATTACATCAGCCTCCAGCCAATCTCTCCCCCTGTGGGTCAGGGGGCTCTGATCCTCCAATCAAGTTTAGTTCCCTTAGCAACCAGCACCCCCTTAGGAGCTTTCCAAAACTCACCAGTTAACATAAACTCAAGTGTTATTGAAAAGGGCTGGTTATGAATAACAAAAGAAGCTCTTTCCATTTCTATCTCTTAGGAAATTTAAAAGGGTTTCAGGAGCTCTGAAAAAGAGCAGGGGAGCCAGACCTAAATATCTACTTATTATATCATGAGGTCCCACTTCATGCTAGCAGTACAGACGGTTTTAAACGTGGGAACTGTTGTTCAAGAGCAGGACTATTCATGTAGAAAGACACAGGAAGTGGTAAAGATGTGAGAAGAGCACGTAAACACTTTGAGAGACAGGAAGAAAAGGGGAAATGAAAAGACAGAAAATGGTAAAGGACACTAATAAAAAGAACCTTGTTGTTGACTGCTCACTTCATTGTCTACTCATGGCCATTGTGAATTTAGTGTTCAGGGAACCATTGGAGGCTGGTATTGCTTAGTTCCCCATATTAGCAGACAAGGAAACAAATCTATAAAAACTGTGTTTGGAACTTGCCAAGGGCCACATGAGCAAGGAAGAACTTGGCACTCTGATCTGAGAGCCAGTGTTCTTAACCAGGTATTCTAATGAAAAATGTAGAAACTTGAAACAAAAGTAGGGAAATAATATGCAGAGAGAAAGACACAGGAAACAAATAGCAGGAGTTCCCAAAAGTGGTGGTGAATCGGCCATGAGATCCTCATGAAAAAACCAACAAAGAAGGGATGTGGTAGAAGCCGGGGTGGAGACCAGGAAACCAGAACATCTAAGGACCAGAAGAGGGCCACTGGGGAGGACAGCTCTGGGGACAAAGGCAGGGTCACTCTGGCTGTGGATACCAAGAGAGGACCCTGCAGAGGACACTGAGAGGGCTGCCCCATGAGGCCCTCAGCCCGCAGTAGAGGGAGTGGTTCTCCTCTCTCAGGACTGGAGTCTGCCTTGAAGAAGCAGGCGGACCTGACAGCTGCAGATGGGTTCTGGATCGATCCTTCAAGATGATGTCTTTTAACTCCCACATGATTAAAAAACAATGCAGGGAGGTTGGCGGGAATGGCAAAAAACCCCAGTTCTATTTCTGAAATACACTTCTAATTTCTTCCCCTAGGAACTAGAAGAAACTCTGTTCCACGAAGCCTCACCTGGTTATGCTCAGAACCGTCGCCTTCTGGTGGTCTGTTCCTTTTGACTCTCCTGGGATTTTCTGCTGGCTGATCCCATTCTAGAATGTGCTGTGGGGGCCGCTTCCTTGGGTTACTGATTACTGAGAATTTTCAGTCTGTGCATCTGCTGTTTTTCCAACTCAGGGTTTAGATAGCAGAGTCTTGATCCTCTGGGTTGCCCAGGGGGGTTTCTTCTTAACATAGCCCTTAGACGTATTTGCTGCCCACTCCTGATGGCTCTGAGCCTGGACTTTTATTTTTCACTGCACATTTGCAGTACATGATGTTTACATTTCTCGTGTGGAGTTGGTACACGTACGCAACACATCTTTGTTCCTTTTCTCGTCCCTTTCCCTCCTCTCTCTCCCCCATCTCTTGATCCCTTAACATCTAGATAGAAAGATCTATCACCCTGCTTCCTATTCCTATTACCTATATTTTGTTCTTTATTTATATTTGAGCTTGTGTGACTGATTTATTTCACTTAACATTGTGGTCTCGAGGTGCATCTATTTTCCTAAAAATGACCCAAGTTATCTTTCTATATGACAAAGTAGTACTCCATGACGTGTAGAAACATTTTCCTTATCCATTCATCTGTTGATGAACAAATAGGCTGCTTTCAAGATTTAGCTATTATGAGTTGTGATGCTACAAATATAAATATGCATGAATCGCTGTAATATGATCTTTCACCTTTTTAGGCCTAGTGTTCCATAAAAATGGAACATAATAAACATTTTTCTCCTCAAACTCTTGCGCCTTGAATTTTCCTCAGCAACATATATGAATTTCATGCAAACATTTGAAATGTCACAGTCTTCAGCATAAATGGAGTTAGGAATGGTGGCATGAAAACATGTACCTGGGCCCATGTTCCATATTAAACTTTTGTAATTACTTCTTAAATCATTTTTGCATAACTTAACTTTGTTTAGAAAAATAGCAATCAGTGACAAAAATGCCACTGCACAGAAGAAGATATTTCACATTGGTGCACTGTTGAGGTTGGTGAGAACAGACGGGGCTAGGTAGCTGGAATCAATATGGCCAGGAGTGGTTCACCATGGGGGAAGAGAGTGTGCTCCTGGGTTTGTTTGCCTGAGATTCTCTCCTTACCCTCCCCTGCTCTGCCTTCCACTTGCCCTCTGCCCTGCCATTTTTCTTGCCAACTTTTGCTGCTTGTTAGCTTCCTGCTGGGTCCCTAACATGAGAGACAGCAAAATTTTGGAGAGCTGGAGAGCGGGAGAAGCTGGTGCCGCCCCTCACTGCTTGGGGAGCAGTTCTGGCAGTAGCTGTCTCTCTGCCATGGCTCCAGCTCTGCCCACCCAATGATGCTCGCCACCCAGGGCTCTCCTTCAGACCCCCTCCCAGCTTCCTGGTTACTGCATTCTTACATTAGGATTTCTCAGCTCTCAGCGCTAGGGCTGGGGATGTAGCTCAGTGGTTCCGCTGCCTCGCAAAAGCAAGGTTGTGGGTTCAATTCCCAGGACCAAAACAACAACAAACAAAGACTTCTCAGTGCTGGGGAGGGAGATGTAGCTCAGTAGCACTGTGCCTGACTGGCAAATGCAAGGTCCTGAGTTTGCTCCCCAGTACCAAAAAGAAAAACAAACAAAACAAGACTTTTCAGCTCTCCCAGGAACTGAATTTCACACTCTGTGTTTTAAATGCTTAGGGTGATTTGTATTTTCCTATTGGACCCTGACTAAGGGACAAATAAAGCATCTATGAATCAAAATGTGTTTTAGGTACAACCTTATCTGAAAATGGACTCCCACACCAGGCCCACCAAAGGAAACAGATAAAAGGATTGAAAACAGAAACAAACAGGCAGAGAAATGATGCACCAGGAAACCACCAAACAGATGAGCAGACTGCCCATGAGTCTGCACCAGTAGGTAAGTGTTTGCCCAAGTGCGGAATGGCCAAGAGGTCCTGGCCATTGGTGGAGGAGGGGACGAGTGCCTGACAGAAGAAGATTCTAATCCCAGCAGTCAGCAGGCTGAGGCAGGGGCATCAGACTCAGAGAGAGCAAGAATCGAGTTTGATACACTAATGAAAGAGATCAGGAAGAAGACAGTTAGCAAGGAAAAACTAGCAGGCACAGAGGTGCATGCGTGCCTGTGATTCCAGGGCAACTTAGTGATGTTGTGAGACCCTGTCTCTAAATAAAAAAGGGCATGGTTGCTGGGAATGTAGCACAGTATGAAGGCCCTGGGTTCAATCCCCAGTCCTGGCCCCCTTGAGGGGAGGAAGAAGCCTAAGAGACAAAGAGGGGGAGTTGTGACTCCAGTGGAGAAGAGACAGAAAATGAGGGTAGAAGGAGAGATCAGAGAGGCACTGGCCATGAAGTCAAGGAAAAACCTCTTCAGGGGTGGAGGCGCCCACAGATGCAGACATGAGTGCGAATGTGAGAGGGAGAGAAGCAGGGTGAAGTATGACAGAAAGGGGAGAGGGCTGAGTGAGGCTGTCCTGGATCTCAGGTGTGGTGGCTTTAATCTGCAGAGCCCGTGGAAGAAGTAACTGCCCAGGAGGATAATGGAGATACAGGTGTGGGGCCTTCCAGCCCCTCACCCTGTGCGGAAGAAGGTAATTATTACTTACTCCCCATTCTGCTTGTTTGTCAGATGTCCTATATTTTTTGGTGGTTAGTTGCCTGTTTAAAAAAATTCATCTTAACCGTTTTTTTTTTTTTTTTTTTTTCTTTTTGGTACCGGGGATTGAACTCGGGTCCTTCCACTTGCAAGGCAGGCCACCGAACCACTGAGCTAAACCCCCAGCCATCTTAACCGTTTTTAAACTAACAAAAATTACGTAAACTTGGGGCCAGTGGTGTAGCTCAGTATTAGGGTCCTTGCCTATAAAGTTTGAGGCCCTGGGTTCCATCCACAGCACACAATCACACACACACACACACACACACGCACACACTTAAAACGTGATATTTTAAAATATGCATACATTAGAGCCCCCGGGCCTGGCTCCCCTCCCTGCCCACCCCTCGCCAGGCAGGCGGGCAAGCTGCCTGAGGAGGTGAGGATGGGAGGAGGAGGGGAGGACCTACCCAAAGAGCACACAATCCAACCTGTCTTTCTTCAGGTTACCGCGGATGCCAGAAGTGGGTGGAGAATTGTAGGAGAGCAGACTTAGGCGACTAAATGCCAGATCAAGGACATAAAAGTTATCGGTTGTGTGCCAAATACTTCGAGACCTCTGTGATCTGTAAAACTATACATTTTGCAGGGGCATCAGAAAACTAAAGAATGATTGGGTTATTTTCTCAAAATTAATTGAGGCAGATACTTGTGAAGTCATTGGGAGAGTGAAGATGAAATCAGGACACTGAGACAGAAAAAAATTGATGAAACTTCTGAACAGGAACAGAAACATAAAGAAACAAACAGTGATGCTCAGAATCCCAGTGCCGAGGTGTGGCCGGACAAGCAGGATGAAGACTTTTTACCTTTAACCCTTGAAAGAAGGAAAACAAAGGACACTTAAAGTCTCTATTTGAAATTTTGATTCTCATGGGAAAACAAAACATAGCTCTACTGGGCATGAGACCCACGAAATCCCGGAGGTCTCTCTATGCCTGATAACTTGCAAGCTTTGTTGGAGCACCGGATAAATGCTGGAGAAGAGGTTCTGAGAAAGCGCTTTGAGACCACAGCTGTTAACACCTTGCTCTGCTCAAAAACACAGCAGAAACAGGTGCCGGAGATCTGTGAGAGCGGCAGTGGGGAAGAAACCCTCAGGGAAGTGAGGAACTCACACTTCTTTTCCATGTCACCGATGATGCGGTGGACACAGCAGGAGAAGAGCGCTGACCTTTCCTTGGTGAGGTTTGCTGATGAATCTCAAACCTGAGAGAGGAATCTGTGGCTTTCTGCCTTAGGAAGCTGATGCGGAAATTTTGGCTGTGAGATTTCACACGACAATAGTTGAGCAGTGGGAACTGTCGTGGCCAGGCTTATATCATGTCCAGTGGATTTCCTTCTAAAATGAAAGTCGTCGCTTCTAGACTTCTAGAAAACATCCCCAAGCGGTCTACACGCTGCTGTTCCTGTGCCTGAAACGTGTGGTTGGCAGAATCAGTGCCGGTGGTGGGGGTTTCGGTTGAGCTGGGAACAATCGAGGAATTTGTTCTTTTTTCCATTGATCACCACAACTACTTTCAGAACCTGACAATGTAATTTCTGTTCTTTTCCAGAACAGTGAAGAAAGGGGTAAAGAGCTGAAGGAAACATGTCATTCTCAGTGGTCAGGCAGGCATGATGCTTTGAAGTTCCAGTGGAAGTGCCAGCGCTTGTTTTATGTTGAGATGGTACAAACAGTGCCACAGATATTAGGAGGAGTAGGTGCATAGCTGGCCAGGCATTTGTACTCCTCTGTAGTGAGTAACAGATTTTGATTTTATCGTTACCATTGTTGCTCTTAAAAATGTCTTACCTTTTCCAAGGGCCTTTGGGAAAAATCTCCAGGGACAACTTCTGCTGTTTTCTTCACAGCCCGCAGCTTGACCACTGTACTGCACTCACTCAATGGAGTGATGGAAAACATTGAAGTTTATCATGAATTTTGATTTGAGGGAGCCACAAGTTTGGCAGCCAAACCTGATATGCAAATGCAACTCCCTGGGAAATTCCACAGGTCTCCTGGAATCTCAGTTAACCGCTGAGAGTTACTGTAAAGAACCCTGAGCATCCCAACAGTGGAGCACATTTTCAGGAACTTAAAGATATATTCTCAGAGCAGTGTCTCAGAGCTCTTCAGTGCTTGTCCCTGGCACCCTCAGCCACGGGACAGCTCACATTCAGCACATCAGAGGGACATCAGGCTTCCGTGTACAGAAAAGACTCAACCAGTCCTGACACGCTCTCGGCTGAAATTCACTGTTGGAGAGTCAGATGGAAACACAGAGGGAAAGGCACAGAGCTCCCGTCTACCGTTTATGAAGCCCTCCATCTGCCTGACATCAAGGTTTTTCCTCACATGTACACCTTGCTGAAGGTCCCATGTGTTCTTCCTGTGATGAAAGTTGAGAATGGGCACTATGAAAATGGACAAAAGTGTCTCAAAGAGGAACACTTTGGCAGACCAGAGGTCAAGTAACTTGGCTTTGATATAAAACATGATCTGGACTTAATGGCGGACACATATATCAAAGTATATACAACTAAATCAGAGCTTCCTACAGATAATTCAGAAACTATTGAAAGTACCTAAGAGACTTTTCAAGTGGGCTTCTTATATTGATATTTGAAAGAAAAGCTATAAGGGGTATGTAGGCCACCTAATCACTGAGTATGTTAGCCGGTAGGCCTGTCATTGAATATATTAGCCATAGATAATCTCCATATTTAAGTGGCCCTGCTGAACTCTCATGCACCTGAGACCTGTCTGTTCTTCCAGAAGACAGCAGTGTGAGTTCCACACTTCACTTTGACGTGACCTCTGCTGGTGGCACTATGGAATTGTTTTAATTAAGTCATTTTGGACGACACACTGTTGTTATGGATCCGTGCTTTCAAGTATTGAGTGGTCAGTTTTTGAAGAGATGAATTTGGAGGTGGCGTGGGAGAAAGGCATGCATCTTATAAAATGTTATGGTGGGGATTTAGCTCAGTGGTTTTGCCGCCTGCCTTGCAAGTGCGAGGACCCAAGTTCAATCCCCAGTACCAAAAAAAAAAAAAAAAAAAAAAAAAAAAAAAAAAAAAAAAAAAAAAAAAAAAAAAAAAAAAAAAAAAAAAAAAAAAAATGTTATGGTGAAGGCCATCATTGTCCTGTGATTAGTAAGAGTTTTAAGTGTGTTATTAAAAATCTAAGGGCCAGTTAAGGGGATTACTAAAGAGCAGTTTATGAGCTCACCAGATTTCAATGTAGCTTTTGTCTTTATTAAATGAACTTAAAAGGAGGGCTTTCAGTTAAAGCTCAAGGGGAAGAGCTCGCCGTTGCCACTCCCCCTCTGCTTGTTGCTGTTTACATTCCTGCATGGAGCCCACATCTCCATGAGGTTCTTAGCAGGTGAATGTTGAGCACTTCTGCTCCTTCTTCAAGGCAGAATCAGAGGCCGTCCATACGGGCCGCTGACTTGTCTGTTTTCTTCTGTCTCTTCCCCTTTTTTTCTGTCTTATCTACTGGCTCGTCTTGATTTAAAAGCAAAGCCTGAAAACCTATAAAGTGGATGTTTTGCGGTTTATCTAGAAATAATACAGAAAGTATTGCTGTTATTTTTGGTGAAAAAATTTTTGTATAGTTTATTTCAATCTAAATAAAATGTGCATTGTGTTTAAAAACAGGCATATGTTGTTGTAAAGGGGCGAGGCTGAACCCCTTCCCATATGCATTTCTCATATCGGTTCTGCGGTGAGAACACAAAGTCTATTCTCTTAGCCATTTCTGAGACTATAATAGATTATTAATAGCTACAGTCACTGTGGTATACAGTAGACCCCTTGAACTTATTTTTCTCCATCCAGCACCTCCTCAGGCCCCCTCTCCTATCCCTCCAGCTCCTGGGAAATAGCATTATACTCCTCTGAGGTCACCACTTGTACGCTCCACACATGCGTGAGATCAACATTTGTTTTATTGTGCCCGGCTTATTTCATTTAGCATAATGGTCTCCTGGCTCTTCTGTGTTGTCGCAATGGCAGGATTTCCTTCACTTTTAGGCTGAATAGCATTTCGTTGTCTGTGTGTATCATGTTTTCTTTACCTGGTGACATTTAATTGGGTTGATTCTATGTCTTGAGTTTTGAGAATAATGCTATAATCAACATGAACCCGGAGGCATCTTTTTGATGTGCTGATTTTAATTTATTGGGTATATACCCATACGAATAGTGTGACTCTGGGATCATAGTCCTGTTCTGGGTTTAGCTGTTTGGGAATCTCCATGCTGTTCCTCACTGTGGCTCTACTATTTTCTGTTCTCACCAGGATTGTACAAGGAAGGGTTCCCTTTTCTCCGCATCAACAGCAACACTTGCTATCTTTTGTCTTTTTGATAACAGCCACTCTAACAGATGTGGGGTGACATCTTGTTGCGGTTTTGTTTGTACGTTCCCAAGAAACTGTGAGGCCAATCACCTTCCCATGCACGATTGGCCGTTTGTGGAGCTATGTTGAACTAAAATGGTCAAAGTGGGCCTCCTTCTCTTGCTCTTGATCTTAAAGGGAAAGCTTTCAACTTTTCACCTTTGAATGTGATGCTTACTGAGTTTGTCATATATGACCCTTATGTGCAGTGGCAATATACCTCTGCCTCTCTAATTCGAATGACTTTTATTTCTTTCTCTTGCCTAAATGCTCTGGCTATAACTCCCAGTGCTATAATGATGTAACAGGTACTGATATATTGAGGTACATTCCTTAATATCTAATTGCTGAGAGTTTTTAATCATGAAGACGTTGAATTTTATCCGATCCTTTTCTGCATCTATTGAGGTAATCATATGTTTTTTTGATCTTCATTATTCCAATAGGGTATGTGATGTCTATAGATTTGCCTATCTTGAGCTAACCTTGCATATCTGGTTAAATTTGACTTGGTCGTGGTGAACATCCATTTGATGTGATGCTGAATT